ATTAAAAATTCTTTGAGAATTTGTTAGATTTTAGAATGGTTTTCAGAATGAAACATCTTTTTTTTTTCCTTAACCTTGATCTGATTCATAGAATTCAACCTAATCTCTTAGAATAAATACACTACTGTCACTTCTTCTGGTCATTATTTAAGCATAAGATTGCAACTGTAAAGCCACTTGATTGTACAGAAATATTTTCACACTGACCTAAATTTGTTTCCTGTATCAGCATGTATTTCATTTAGAAATTTACATTTGGCATTACCTTAAAATAGCAGTGCACCTTTATATGTACAGTCATTAAGACCCTAGACTCTGACTGCGTTGGTGTGGGTCCCCACTGCCATTTCTTTATAAGCAAGCAAAGCCCTGACTACACTTCTCCAGGGCTCAGTCTCATAGGTAGCAGAAGGTTTCAGATTTGTAATCATAGAAATTTATTATTAAAAAAGCCATTCAATACGTTGCTTCTCTCTTTTTTTTTTAAATATATTCACTTGTTTGTGTGGGTATCTATGTGCCACAGTACATGTAGAGGTTAGAGGAAACTATTTATAGAGGTTGGTTCTCTCCTTTCACTATATGGGTCCTTGGGATAGAACTGAGGTCAACAGAGTTATACTTGGTGTCAAGTACCTTTCCCATAAAACATCTACTGTACCAGGACATTGCCTCTTTTAGCAAAATTTTTGAGACTTGCTTCTAAACTATCAATAAAGATTTATGTTGATCAGAATGAATTATACTCTCTGCATCAAGTCTATGTCATGCATAATTGTTCTTCACAGGGATTTGGTAATGTGGGCCTGCACTCTATGAGGTATTTACATCGTTTTGGTGCTAAATGTGTTGGTGTTGGTGAATCTGATGGGAGCATATGGAATCCAGATGGTATTGACCCAAAGGAACTGGAAGATTTCAAGTTGGTATGTTATTCTAATATCTGAGCAATCTTTTAAAATTTTAAGAGGTTATTTTTGGAGGGTTTTATTTTGTTATTTTAATTTTGTGTTTGTGTGCTAAATAGCATTCAGTTGGAGGTCAGAAGACACCCTGCAGGACTCTGCTCTCTCCTTCTACCATAGGGGTCCCAGGACTTAAATTCAGGTCATTGTTTGATGACAGCACTGAATCATCGTACCAACCTTAAAAAAAAATAATATTTTCAGTTATTTCTTTTGAGGCGGGTGAGACTTGTGTCACTGTGCACATGGAGAACAACTTAGAAGGGTGTTTCTCCTTCCACCACACAGGTCCTGGGTGGTTAAACTCATCATCAGGCTTGGTGGCAGGAACCTTAAGTGTTCTTTCTTCTGCTGTTTGGTTTTATGTTTGGGTGGTGAGGTTGGGGTTTTTTAATTCAAACTTGGTTTAATCATCTTGCCTCTTCCTTCCAAGTATTGGTAGGATTTTTATCTTTTTTGAGGCATGGTCTTGCTATATGTGCTTGATTGGCCTCATATTCCCTGGGTAGCCCTGGATGGTTTAAAACTCACAGCAATCTCCTTGCCTCAGCATCCCTAATGTAGGGATTATAGACATGAGCCACTGTACCTGGTTCTAAATAGATTTTGTATAATAGGCACTGAAGATAGCATTTAAACTGTGTTGGAACCCTTAGTCTGACTTTGAATCCCTTACAGCAACATGGATCCATTCTGGGCTTTCCCAAAGCAAAGGTCTATGAAGGAAGCATCTTGGAGGCTGACTGTGACATCCTGATCCCTGCAGCCAGTGAGAAGCAGTTGACCAAGTCCAATGCTCCCCGAGTCAAAGCCAAGGTAAAACCCTTGTAGAAACAAATGGGCATCATCAGTGTGCAATGTCATAAGAGCTCATCAGTGACATCATCAGTGTGCAGTGTCGTAAGAGCTCATCAGTGACATCATCAGTGTGCAGTGTCATAAGAGCTCATCAGTGACATCATCAGTGTGCAGTGTCATAAGAGCTCATCAGTGACTTTGTTTTAGTCACAGAATTTTACCCCACCACTACTTTCAAAACATAGTTAAAAAAAATTAGAGAAGCAGACAAATGAAAGGTAGCCTTTGGGGCTGGAGAGATGGCTCAGTTGTTAAGAGCACTGGCTGCTCTCCCAGAGGTCCTGAGTTCAATTCCCAGCAACCACATGGTGGCTCACAACAATCTGTAATGAGATCTGGCTCCCTATTCTGGCGTGCAGGCATACATAGAGGCAGAATGTTGTATACATAATAAATAAATCTTTTTTTTAAAAAAAAAAAAAAACCCATCCTTTCAAAAAAAACAAACATAGCTAAAAAAAAAAATGAAAGGTAACCTTTATATACTTTGTAGAGCCAGTAATTTTAGCTGAAATTCTTCTACTCTTCCTTTAGCTCCTTATACAAGCACTCAGCTCTTTACTGTGAGAATTTTCCTGGCATCTGTGCCTGTCCCCAATTCTCTTACAGATCATTGCTGAAGGAGCCAATGGACCAACCACTCCAGAGGCCGATAAGATCTTCCTGGAAAGGAACATCATGGTTATTCCGGTAGACACCTATCTTTGCTCCTCGGGTTTTATGTGCTCTAGGAATCATTTCTTTTGCTAGCAACTGGCAAGAGGACCCACTGGTGTCAAAAGTTGTAATAAATCCCTAATCTTTATTTACTTTTAAGAAAATATAATGGCAACAAGGCTAAGGCCAGGGTCACAGTGTACAAGACCACACACATGAAGTTCAAGGGTCAGTCTCCAGCACCTTAAGAAACAAGTGACAGAGGAGAATCAGAAGCACTGATAGTGTAATATGCCAGTCACTTTTCTCTTAGTCCTGAACGTTTTCTCTAGCTTTCGGTTGTAACTGGAGTAAAAGTAGCCCTCAAAATCCAGTTATGTTAAATATATACTGGGTCAGAAATACAATTCTAGGTCTTAAGTTTTGTTACCCAGTTTGTAACTTTATGCATTTGAGTGTCTCTTACTGCTTTACTGAAGAAAGAAAGAAAAAGGAAAGGAGAATTTAGGGCTGAAGAGATGGCACAGCCGTTCGGAGCCTGTAGTGTGCTCACACACCCAGAGCCTCATTGGGTGGCTCATAGCCTGTGCTCCGCTCCGGGGATCCCACCTGGCCTCTGTACACACTCATATACCCACATATACACATCTCTTTCTTCTTTTTTTTCTACTATGAAGAACATGTATTCAGAATTTGGGGTGAAAATGGAGGCGTTATTGGGACTTAAAATGAAATCTGAATAGCCCATTTTGTAGAAAGCATGTGTTTAAAAAAAAATCACTTAATTGAAATGTGCTGTCTTAAGGTGGTGGCAAAGGTAATACCATCTTCTGGTGAGGCACCACAGGCCTTTAGTCTGAGATCGTGGTAAGAAAAAGCTAACTATCACCAAAGTCATTCAGTGATCTTGATACATTTGCAGTGTTTGATGTTCTCTTAGAGTTGCTCTTACTGCGGTGAGGAACAGTGACAAAACCAACACTTCCACATCACTGTTCATCAAAGGAAGTCAGGGCGGGAACCCCAAGACAGGAGCTGATGCAGCGGACATAGAGTGTGCCCCTTCCCCCTGGCTTGCTCAGCCTGCTCTCCTATAGAACCCAGGACCACCAGCCCAGAGAAGGGCCCTACCCACCATGGGCTAGGCCTCCCACATCACTAATTAAGGAATGCCCACAGCAGCTTTTCTCAACCTTAGGGTTATAACCCTTTAGCAAACGTCTATCTCCAAAGGTTTTTATTACAGTTCATAACAATAACAAAATTACAGTCATGAAGTAGCAATGAAAATAATTTCATAGGTGGGGTCACAACATGAGGAGCTGTTGTTAAAGGGTCGCAGCGTTAGGAATGTTGAGACCACTGCCTTGCATACAGCTGGATCTTATGGAGACATTTTTTAAATTGAGATTCTCTCCTCAGATGACTTTAGACTGTGTCAAGTTGGCACAAAAACTATGCAGATGTTTAGTCTACCTGGGTATTGAAATTGAGTTCCTGAGCCTGACAAAATGGCAGAGCAGCTACAGGTACTAAGTACCAAGCCTGACATTTATTAAAGCCATCATCTTTTTTTTTTTTAATGTATTTTCTATGTCGCTGTGTGTAGGATCTCTACTTAAATGCTGGAGGAGTGACAGTATCTTACTTTGAGTGGCTGAAGAATCTCAATCACGTCAGCTATGGCCGATTGACCTTCAAATACGAAAGGGACTCTAACTACCACTTGCTCAGTGAGTTCTTCCTTAGAATCTTGTTTGTGTCTCCAAAAATTGTCCTTTGGGCCAAAGAAAGAGCTGGGAAAGCATCCACACTTAGGGAACCTCTTCCTGATAATCCTAGAGACCTTTGCCTAAGAACAGAAAACAGTTTTTCCGTCTCCTGGTTCAGAGAGCAAAAGGACACATTTTTTTAAATAATGTGTTTTCTACAAATAACAATCTATAGATTAATGATACTCTAAAAAGCCATTTTTAAACCTGAACTCCACCACTGATCTTATTCATCCCTATCTCTAGTTGCTTTCAGAAAAGTCTTAGCTAACATTTATAAAAAAAAATATAATGAAACCCATTCTTTTATACACTAATTAAAAGAAGTGCAGCCTAGTGTGGAAGCCCATTTTGAGTCCTCTGGTAAGCATTTTTATTTGACCAGAGTAAACTCACTCTTGAGAACTCTCATCCAGCTGAAATAAAACCAAGACCTCCCACTGCGTCCCTGTACTCTGCCACTCTGAGAATGTTCCTCTTGTCCTTTTCTCTTCCCACAGAATTTCTTTTTAACAGAGCCAAGAGAAGAAAACCCTAGTGATGGGCATTATGAAAACAAAGCAGTGACCTAAATTCACATTTCTATACGAATTTGGCAGGCTTCTCCTTGCTGAGCTTTTAATAATTAACCCTTCTATGTCATTAGGAGTAAATGTTTCTAAACAATTAGTTTTTGGGCTACACACATATATAGGTTAGAATTAGTAAGTCGTACATTTATTTTCTCCCACCATTAACAGTATCTTACCTGATGTCTTGGCTTCTTACAGTGTCTGTTCAAGAGAGCTTAGAGAGGAAATTTGGAAAGCATGGTGGAACTATCCCTGTGGTCCCTACAGCAGAGTTCCAGGACAGGATATCGGTGAGTGTGCTGACACCAGAGTGGCGCCTTACACATGCTCCCTGCCTTGTCTGTAGGCTACACAGAGTAAATGGAGTCTTAGCAAAGGATTTTAACCATAATGGTATTATGTGGTCATAATTCATCATTCCATTCTAAAAATGATGGCAAGTAAGTAATTCTGTTTGGGGTACTTAATGATTTGAATAATCCTGAAGGCTTTCCATACTTTTCAACTCAAGCTTCAGAGAACTAGAATTGAAAAGTAAACATGAAACTGAATTATATGAAAATATGAAATAATTATATGGCACAGAGTTAGCAGATTAGAAAATATATAAGTCAATCAGTTCTTGGCAGGGGATATCAATAGTGTATACACATTACAAAGAACTTACCAGGACAATACAGAAAATACTGGGTTCCAAAGGCATAGCATATATGCATGGGGAAAAAAATATTTAACCTGTTTTATTTTGTTCTCTTTCTGTGGTACTGGGAATTGAACCCAGAACTTTATGCATGTCAGGTTAGGGCCCTATCACTGAGCTACAACCCCATTCCATTCCCAAGTACTAGGTCTTTAAAACTCACTGTCTCTATTGAATGGTCATACTTTATTCCAATAATACTACAGATAGGTACAGCTCTTCTGAAAATTCTGAGTTCTCTGTGAGTTCAAGACCAGCCTGATCTACAGAGTGAGTTCCAGAGCAACACAGAGAAACCCTGACACACACACACACACACACACACACACACACACACTCTCTCTCTCTCTCTCTCTCTCTCTCTCTCTCTCTCTCTCTCATATATATATATATATATATATATATATATATATATATATATATATATATATATGAGATATATATAAAATTTTTAAAAAGAGGCATTTGGTTCCAGGTAACAATTTACAAGTGTACTGTGTCTCATTTGTCTTCTGTCTGTAGCCCTAGAACTCAGAGGCAGAATTAGGAAGGCTGCTTTGAATTTAAGGCCAGCATGTATATGTCATACATACATATGCACACAGGTTCTGGGAAAACTCAGGATTTTGATTATTTTGTTCATTGCTGTGTCACTAATGTCTGAACGTGCCTAAGACATAGTATTCTTAATAAATGTTTGATGGGTAAGTGAAAGAAACCGCACTCTTCTGCCTGTTAAGCGAGTTTGTTTCATCTCCCTATTTTATAGACCGAAAAAAAGTATAATACAAATGTACATTTCAAGGTGTTTAGTGTAAATAACTTTGGGGGTTTTTTTGCAACAGATAACTAAGGATTAAGTTGAACTCCTGATCCTCCTCCCTCAACCTCCCATGTTCTGGAGTCACAGGCATGTACCTTATTTTGGTAATCCACTTCAAGTTTTTATCTGGCACCTTAGGATATATATATTGTATAGCTATCTTGTGTCACATTAGGAGTGGTAGTGACTTAGACATTTTTTGTTTTTTGTTTGTTTTGTTTTTGTTTTTCAAGACAGGGTCTCTCTGTAGCCCTGACTGTCCTGGAACTCACTTTGTAAAGCAGGGTGTCCTCAAACTCACAGAAATCCACCTCCCTCCCAAGTGCTGGGATTAAAGGCATATGCCACCATGCCTTGTGCTACACTTAAATTTTAAAGAAATCCCTCCAAAAAATAAATTAGATAGAGTAGTCTATAGAAATAGAAAACTCTTTGATCCCCAACTTTAAAGCTGGGGCTACTAAGTACACAGGCAAAATCTTCCCAGAGCTGCTGTCAGCTTTAGCCATGTCCCGTCTGTGTCTGGTGGCCCTGCTAACGTAGAGAATGGTGAGTGCGCCAGGACAACGTCTGCGTAGAGTGGGTGGGGGCTGCTATCTGGCCACTCGCCTGCCCTCGGACTGCTTTTCTGTGTTTGTTTTAATTATGATCTTATTTCATGAGTTTTGTTTCTGTCTGATATCATTAAAACAGCTATGTTTGGAAAATGATTTGTCTATCTTGCTAGCATACACTGATACAGAACAGAAATTCTATATCTTTCCTATATTGCTGCAGTATCAACTTAATCCTTGGTATTCTTCTAGAGACATGAAGCATATCTTGATATGTTTTTGTTAAGTTAATGTTATTTTTCTTAATAGGGTGCCTCTGAGAAGGACATTGTGCACTCTGGCTTGGCCTACACAATGGAGCGATCTGCCCGGGTATGTATGCAGTTGATAGCTGCCTTTGTGTTAATAACATGAAACACTAGTTACCATGGTGTCTTGGCAGGCAGATTGTGTTTATGATGCTGTTACCTGATCCCCATCTCTGTACAGCAGCACTTGTCCCGTTGTGGCCTCCGTTGATGAGCACTGTTGTCAGTACATCTTTAGGAAGAAAAGAGCACTTCTGGTTCTTCCTGAGGGCCCAGGTTCAATTCCCAGCACCCACAGGTCACTAACTGCTTTAACTCCAGTTTTAGAGGATCTGATGTGCTCTTGTGGCCTCTGAACACACTAAGATGCAAGCAAAACAGCCATATACATAAAAAATACAAATAACTAAAAAGATAGTTGGCAAAACTAGAATGCTGATCAGTCAGTCGCTATTTAATAGCCCAAAGCTGACTTAACTATAAAATTGGTTTAAGTAAGAAATTTGTGACTTTTATTTTTTATTTTTTTTATCACTTGAATGCTTTTTACACCAGGCCTTAAATATGGCACAGTGTGAGCACAGCTTTTCTGACACTGTTCTTTTGTCTTTTGAAATAGGGTCAGTCTCTCTAGGTAGCACTGACTATCCCAGAACTCTCACATGTAGACCAGGCTGGCCTTCAACACCAAGATCCGCCTGCCTCTGCCTCCCAAGTACTGGATGAAAAACTGATTTCTTCTTGATCAAATTCTGTCAGTGTTGATTTCCAGGCTGAAGTAGCATAGACAGAGTCTGCTGAAGAAGGCGGCACTTCTTAGTGTACTGTTTTCTGAGGGGGAGGGGTATTTTGTTGCACTTTAAAGCAGGGTCTCACATGTCCTAGTCTGGCCTTGAACCTTGAACTCACTTCATAACTGAGATGTGGTTGAGCTCCCTATCATCCTCCACCTCCCTAGTGCTGGAATTATTAGCATGTGCCACTATACTTGATTCTTGCTGTTTTTCTTTTTAATTGAGACATAATTCAAGCACTCTAATGACTGACAAGATGACTCCATGGATAGATCTGACAGTCTGAGTTCAATCCTTGGGACTCACGTGGTAGAAGGAGAAAGCCAACTCCCTAAGTATTCCTTTGACGTCCACGTTCACACAGCACACACACACAACAAAATATGTTCTTCGGCTTATAGTACAGTCACAAGGCTGTATAGCTATCACCACTGAAATTCTAGAATGTTCCTAGTGCCCTGTTACTGGTTATTTTAAACAATTACTAAGTATGATCTGAGCTCATTCGAGAGCACAGGATAGTTAACAGAGAAGCCATTCACATCTGTAGTTCTCAGGAGTAGTTATTGCTGTTCACTGGACGATAACAACAGAGAATTTGCTGCTCCAGTCATTTGCCTTTGGCTGTCTAAGTCTTATAGTTAGTTGGTCATGGGTGGGTGAGTGGTACCCATCCTCCATGCATACCTTTTGTGTTCAAAGCCTGCCGCTCAGTCAGGTGGTCTCACTGCCTTTTCTCCTTCATTCCAGCAAATTATGCGCACAGCCATGAAGTATAACCTGGGATTGGACCTGAGAACAGCTGCCTATGTCAATGCCATTGAGAAAGTCTTCAAGGTGTACAACGAAGCTGGTGTGACCTTCACATAGACAGGTCACAACTGACTTCTTTATCACCACTTCACCTATAATTTCTGCAGACCTGTCACAAGTTTACATGTAACCACAGAAATCTGTTCTTGTGACTCATTAGTTAATGGACACTGTTCTCAGCAAGTCAGTCTGAATCAGCCCCTTGAGAGATTAGTTAGAGGATCATGTACAAGCTGATGTGTTAGTAGGAATCACGTGTATCAGAACCAGTTAGGTACTTTTTCTAAGTGCAGTCTCTGCCTGCCTCCTGGCTGTGCTGCCCTGCTCTGCCTTGCCAACAGGGTCAGCGCTGCTGGCAGGGGAGGCAGTCAAGAGCAACCAGCCTCTTCTGGACAAGTCTGGGAACTTGGATACGTAGAAAAGTAGGTGTGTGGCATTTTCCAAAGGTGGCATGGTCCTCAAATGAGTTATTGCTATTTTACATCTGCAAAATAACTCAGTTTTCTAAGTTGCAAACAAAATAAAAGCTGTTTCTCTTACGAATTTTATTCTTTGAGAATAAAATTAGTACATGCTGCTGTAATAAAATTGCCTTTAATCACTTAAGCCTGACCTCGACTCAAGCAGTGAATGCCTAAAAACATAATGAAGAAGCTAGTTTTTATAACAAAAAACAGTATCATTTGTAGCCTTTGGCACTGCATTGTTGTCCAGGAGAAAGAACGTGGCACTGTGGGAGCACTCTCCTCAGACCTGCAAGTGACAGGGACTCTGGGGAATTTGTAACACAGTCCAGGGAGCGCAGTAACCTCCTTACCATGAAAATGACTTGTTCTTCCCATTTGAAGAGCTATTGTGTTGAGTAGTTGAACCATAATTCAAATAGTGTCCCAGAAAAAGCCTTGGGCTCCCTGTTTGGAGTCTGGCTGGCTCCAAGCACAGCCAGTAGCCCGGCTCAACCTGACTGTGTGCCCCTTCTTCCGAGGCTTTGCATTCTGCACACCGCTTCACTAACAGCAGGCTGGAGACTGCCTGGAGTTGACTTTTGCTCGGGAGTCATTGCCTAGGGCTCTTGAACAGGAATGTTCCACAGAAGTACCAGATATTATTTATATAAGAAGAAGTGCTTTTTTTTTAACAATGCCCTTTCAGAAATCTCTAACTACTTTGTAACTGCATGATTAACTTGGTGATAAAAGCAGTTATTAAAAATCTACCTTTTCTAAAGTGTATGTTTCTTTTCTGTGTTTTCATATTTGATAGTCTCTTAGTAAATGATAAAACAGTAATTGAGTTTCAACAATTTTTGTAACTGTCTATGTTACTTCTTTTGTTATGAACTGCTAAAATTTTGGGGTTTGGTTTTAGTGTTTCGAAACAGAATTTTTCTGCATAGCA